AATTTAGTACTTGCAGTTCCTCATACACAGTACTCCATCTTCTGTCTCTGTACCTTTATATTGGATCATTATACATCTGGAATGCTTTACCTTTAATGCTCAGCTCAATCTCATCTTCCACAGGACATTTTTCCATTCCCTCCACCCCCTACCTCTTTAAGTGCTATTAGTCCCTTCTCTCAAATTATTTTCTTTTTACTCTGTATGTATCTTGTATGTACCTAAATATTTACATGTTGTCTCCACCATTAGAATAAACTCCTCCTTGAGGGTGGTGACTTTTTTAGTTTTTGTCTCCTTAGTGCTTAGTACACTGCATGGCACATAGTAGTCACTTAATAAACATCTGTTGCAATTTAACGGTACTTGTTTCCTAACACTTAAAAGGAATCATTTACAGGACTCTTAAGAGTTAGGCTTAGCCCAAAAGTACTTCATTCCCTATGGCTACACACTGCCTACACCTTCTCCTCTGCCACCAAATCTCCTTTTCTCACCCCCATACACCCCAGTCCTATTCCTCTACTATCCAGCTTTCTCTACCTCTTACATTGTCCCCGCTGAAATCTTTTCCATCGCTAACCAACTTTACCTTAAATCTCTTTTTCTCATGCCTTTTCTAATTACTAGCATTCCGAACTGGTTTTTATATACACACACATATACATGTGTGTGTGCATATATGTTATGTATGTATATGTTTATGTACATTTCTGGCCCATCCTTTTAAATTCTGGTTTTAAACTCTGGTTTAAATTCTGGTCTCTCACATCTCTTTGTCCTGTGGGCTTCTCAAATTCAACACGTCCAAAATAGAACTCATTATCTTTCCCCCCCAAACCTAATTTCTTACTAACTTCTCTATTTCTAGTAAAGGGTCAACTCCATTTTAATCACCCAAGTTTCTAACCCTGAAGTCATCCTTGAGTCCTCATTGTCATACCACATATTTTGTTGATTCTACCTTTCTAACATATTCACATCCATCATCTTCTTCCATGTACATAGCCACTTCACTAGTTCAGGTTCCTATCAAATCTCACCTTTGCTTCTCTACTTTACTAGGCTCCTAATTGCCTATACTCCAAAAACCTATTTTTGATAGGAATATCACAAAATGATATTCCTAAAAAGCACACATTTCATTATCTCACTCGCTAAACTCCGGTGGCTAATCATTACTACTAGAATCAAATACAAACTCCTACAGTTGGCATTTAAAGCCCTTCTCAATCTTGCTTCAATTCATCTTTCCAGGCTTTCTATATATTACTCTGGTTCATGAACTTCATGGACTAAACAAAGTGGCTTTCTTGCAGTTCATTATACATGCCAATTGATTGCACATTTGTTGTCTTTGTACCTTTGCAAAGATTTTCTCCCATGCCCAGAATACATGCTCCCTTCTTTACCTCTGACTCTTAAGAATCCCCATTTTTCTTCAAACATCAGTTCCTAATCTTCAAAGCATACCTCTTACATATGGTCTTTCCTGATTCCCTCACAAGTGTTCTTCCATTACCTTATATTTACTTTACATATGCTCATTTTGTATGTAAATTGGTACATGCTATTTTCATCTTTAGACTCTAAGTTCCTTGAAGATATGGATGGTCTCATTTATGATTTGCAACCACAACACACAGTACAGTGCCTGGCACATAACAGGTGCTTAATAAATTCTTGTTGATTGAATAATTGGTTTCACTACTTCTGTGAAGTTTTCTTTTATGGACTTGGGCAAGTTATGAAACCTGTTTGCCTCAATTTTTTCAACTGTGGAATGGAAATAATAGCACCTACTTCGTAGGGTTGTTGTTAGGATCAAATGAGGCAATATTTGTAAAACACTCAGCACAGTGCCTGACAAACAGCAGGGTCTCTTATGAATGTCAACTATTATTATTTCTTAAAATATGGCAGAAGCTTCCTGTTTTATCAATGCTTTCTTAAATGATCTCTTCTGATTCTGTTTTTTAGTTCTACCATTTTTGACATTACATATCTCATATATTCTTTAAATTCTCCAAGCATTTGGCTTTGTTCTAAATATGTCTTGTATTAATTTTACAGTGATGTTTATTCCATTCTATTTTTCATGATGTACTTTTTTTGAGTAACTTTTTTGCCTGCTATTCTTTCCTTTTTCATGTCCCTCCAAGAAAACAAATTTCATTCTTTATCACTTACTAAAACTCTTCATTTTTTCCAATTATTTTTTGGTCACAGTAGTCAATCCTGAAATAGGGCAGCTGTGAAGGCTGGATAATAACAGGTTTTTGGCTCTGTTCCATTTAGAGCTATTGGTGTGTGAACACCACGACAGGGAATATGATCTTCAATGGGATGAATGAATCTAGGATCCTACTCTTTTGTGTCCTTATCTAGTGCTCCAAAATTCTATTTGGGATAGCTAAGCTGGAATCTATTGTTCTTACTGGTCATCCCTGCAAAAAATGAGAATCAATACCACACCACACACCATCATCCATTTCAGTCTGTGAATACAGTCCAAGGTCATGCCTTGCTCTCTGCCTTGGTACTAGATTGGGATGCTAACCTTTCTGATCACTGCCTTTGATATAAGTTCCTTCTCTTTGATTGTCTCTTCCTTCTTTAATCTTTCCTCCATCTCCAGCAGAAAGCCCTTTTCTTCAAGGTCAAATTCATGACATGTCCCTCCTCCATGAAGCACTCTTTCATCACAAATGTACCCTTTCCCTCTTCAAACTTCTCATAACAGTTTGCCTAAGTCTCTCTTTTGCACTTCTCATTTTACCATGTACCATAGTTGAGTACTTATTCTCCCCTTTCAACTCGACTGTAAATTCCATAAGAGCAAGACTTGTATCAAATCTATATTTATATATTTGATCTTTCTTATAGAAAGTGCTTATTATTTGTTGAATATGAATTTGTGCACAAAGGAGTAAAGTAAAATCCATTTACATTTCCACCAAAAAAAACCAAACCAAAAACTGTACTTAGGCTATCAGGGGCATTCAAATTGAGAAATTGGGTAAGTGGCTCAGCAATGAAGTGCCTATGGGGCCTCCAGGTGGGAATGGGCTAAATAAATGAAAGACGGCACCACAAAGCTGCAAAAAATATCAAGGGAGAAGTGTCTAAGAATATCATCATCCCTTCCTCTCTCCCCTTTTCCATCTCTAGCACTGCAATTGTAAATTGGCCTTAGAAAGAAGGGAGAAGTGAAGTCTAAGTGCTAGGGAAGGATCAGCAACAAGGAGAGTTCCAACAGCCTTTCACAGGTAGTCATACAGGCACAAAAGCTGTAGATAAGGCAGATGCACATAAATAGGGACAGATCTAGCAACAGATATTATAACAAGGTTGTAGAGTTTATGTAAATTTCATAATAATGTAACATAGGCACAAAGCTAGTTCGTTTATGCTAATTATTCCACAGACTAAATATACATTTAATAAACTTCCTCAGAATTACATATATGACAACAGGACCAGTATGATTAAAATATATCATGATTTTAACTCACCAATAACATTTTATAAAAAAAAAAAGGAAGATAAAAAAATACTTAAAACTGTAGATGTCATTTTCTATACCACATGTCAAATCAGAACTAACATATTTTATATATATCTTGCAAGTTAAATTTTTTTTAAATTGGATTTTGGAGTAAGCTTTACACATATCTAGTCCCAAACATCCACTTATATTCTTGCTATTAGAGAAAAAAAGGTTGCAGAATGTAAGTACTCATAATATTTGTGGACATGGCTAAGGAAAATTTATAGGCAGAAATAATAATTTTAATGAAACCAGACTTTTTTCACCTGGTTGCAGGACTGGCATAGCCAAATATCTGGCAGAGAATTTTTTGTCTTAGGGCCAAGAGTTCTTCAACTTTTTTGTGTCATTTTCCTTTGTGTCATTTCCTTTGGGGAAGCCTCTGGACTTCTCAGAATGTTTTAAATGCATAAAACAAAATACACAGGATTATAAAGAAAAATAACTAATGAAATGATTATAAATAGAAATAACTAATATATATATATATTAATCAGCATATGTATATGTGTATGTGGGTATATGCACACACATATACATACATGTACACACACATACATATATGCACACACACACACACCATATACATTGTAAGTTAATAATCTCTATCCTAGAGCTACTTCTGGGCTTTCAAATATTAGGAAAGTATATTCAAGTTCGGTATATATATATATCATTTGAGTAAAAAATTATCCTAACTAGAAATATAATTTTCCCATTTTTATGGGAGTTAATTTCCTTTTGATATTAAATTAGTGTCACAAAATCTTAAGAAACTCACATAAACAATTTTTATAGTTCGAAGAGAAAAATAAGGACAAAATATCTAAAATCAATCAATTTCTATTTCTGATCCCCATAAGTTCAGTAGTCTTGTACAACTCTTTGTGACTACATTTGGGCTTTTCTTGCCAAGGATACTGTAGTAGTTTGCCATTTCCTTCTCCAGCTCATTTTACAGATAGAGAACTGAGACAAACAGGGTGAAGGGACTTGTGCGGTGTCACACAGCTAGTAAGTGTCTGAGGCCAGATTCGAGATCAGGAAGATGAGTTTTCCTGACCCCAGGCCTGGCACTCTATTCACTGTGCTACCTAGCTGCCCTTCTATCCCCATAATAAAGCCAAATTTTCATCTTTCATTAATTTTCACCTACTTTGTTGCTAAAATGTTTGTGATTATCCATAAGGACATATATACATGTAAAAATTATTTGAAAAAATATTCATCATCTCAAATACATACAAAAAACCAAAAGATGTGAAATTTAGCTCCAAATTATATTTCCCTATGAACAGAAAACATTTGTAGCAAAATGATATAAAGTCACATTTTGCAATATAAATCAAGATTCTAATTGGAATGGTTATAAAATTTATCTACTTCCTGGGCTATAATTATTATCTTGCTTATTCAAAATAATTACTTATCTAAATCTTGGTGAAAATACCTTTAGATTATATTTATGAGCATTATCCAAAATAGCAGGCACCAACTCATCTGTAGATTCCCCATTATTATCAGCTGAACCACGTGGGTACCATGACAAGGCTACCACACCTAAGAGACAAAGGGAAAAAAAAAGAGAGAGAAAGAGATGACAGTTGGTACTGCATCAACTGAAAGTAGTAATTTCTTTTAATAGTTTAATAATCAACATTCAAGAGGAAATGCTATTTTGAAAGCAGTACTAGAAGATCAGTCTTCATAGAGAATATGACTGTACAAAAGGAAACCATCCACTAGTAGAAGATGTTATATGGATCTACATATTGAAGATCTTTTATTAAAGTTCAATTACTTTTATATATACTCATATACACAAAATGCAGGTTGAATTACCTGATATTATTGAAAGCTGTGTGCAATAATTTACTTAAAAAAATATATTTTCATATGATGATGCTTCACTGTCTCATTAATGACACTGAGTGAATATACGGTAAGTACAAAACACTTTAAAACAGACATGGAAAGAAACCAGGAGATGATGGTGATTGCCATGGTTAAAGCTATAGAGAAGTGAAAAAAAAAAGCAATGAGGACTCAGAAAAGATCGTAAGAAGTTCAGGTTAGTCTGAAACAACCTACTATCTCTCTGATCTAAGGCGTGTCAGAGCAGATGTCTCTTATGATTCCTTTAAAATTCTGTTTAGAGAGCGAATTCTCTAAAGAATTTAAGTAAAAGCAAAATGAACAAAAGATGTTTCACAAGTCAATGATAGCCAAAAGAATACTCCTTGTCCTCTAATTTTCATTATATAATGTTTATTATATAACTCCACAATTCCAAAATACTTTTAATATAACACCCAAATCTACATTTATTCTTTAAAATCCCACTATTGAGCTGTTACTAAGGAACTTAATGTCCTGTATATGACGAGCACTACTCTGACCTAGCTAAGTGAGGTTTCTTCTTAGATCAAATACATGATGCTGGGTGTCCATCACATAGTCAGCTCCTCCACAGGGATGTTACTGGGACCTCCCCTTGCTGACAGTAGCACAAACTCAACTACATTCGGTTTTTCTGTTGCTTCAAAATTCATTTTGCTACTATGTTGTGACTTCTGTTGTCATAGTATTCTCAGCCCTCAGTTTACAGCTATTAAACATTTTACTGTTTTAATACCAATTTACATTTTTTTTTAATCTAGCATCAATTTCAGGAAAGCATGTTTACTTTGTGTTATGAGTTTTGAGGCTTAATTTTGGGAAAAAAGTTCACTTTCCATTATATTTTGAGAGGAAGGGGCACAAGTGTAAAACAATGGCCTAGTTGTTATTAATTTACTCTGGAACCTAAGGGGTATCTATAAATATACCTAGTGGAAAAGTTCCTTTGATATTCAAAAGCTATTTAGAAATATAAGCTTATCTTCATTTAGTTAAAGACTTAGAGTACATTCCTTGGAGATTTATCAATAAATATGCCTTTGTAAAAAACTGATAAATGATTAGTTGTATTTGGTACCACAAAGTACATGAAATTATAAACTTGCAATTGGCATTGATTTAATTACTCTAAGTATTATGATTATTTTAAATGAAATTCTTTTATTGTAGGTTGGCTTTCTTGGGATAATACACAATGAGAAACAAGGAAACAAAAATCCTTCAAGAAAAATTGACAAGAATAAATGACTACTTATTCTACTTCAATTGATCTTATCAAGTTTCTTCCTAGCTGCATGCTCTGAATAAACTATTCTTGCCAAATATCATGGCAGTCAAGGAAAATGGAAATCTGCTCTGGCAGCAACGTTGTCAAGGTTTACTGGAGTTGTTAAAATATCATAGAACACAATTTAACTGTGAGAACATGTTAAGAGGCTTGGGATTGAGAGCTGGGAGTTGGAATCTTCTATTTGAAGTAGCTTAAAGTTCCTAAACACTGCTTTCTAAAGTCTAATGATAGTAAAACAAGGTAGGTTCTTCAAGTGAGGGAGAGACAGTTTTCAAGTTTTTTTTTTTATGAGAATCCAGAAAAGTATTATGTTTAGAGAAAATAATTATATTGTAAGAAGTGATAAAAAGGGATAGTTTCAAAGAAACTTGGGAAGACTTGTGTGAACTAATGAAGGGTAAAATAAGCAGAATCAGGAGAAAAATTTATACAGTAATAACATTTATAAAGAAACGGAACTTTGAAAGACAAGAACGTCAAAGGATACGAACAGGCAGATTTCAAAGGAAAAAAAAAATCCAAGCTATCTACAAACCTATGGACAAAGATGACAAGAAAAGAAGGCCAAATGTTAGAGTAGTTATGTTAAATCAGGCACACTAGTGTACTGTTGGTGAAGCTGTAAATTAGCTCAGTCATTTTGGAAAGCAATTTGAAACTATGCCCTAAAAGATACTCTTTGACCCACTACTGATCCATATTCCAAAGAAACCAAAGAAAGAGGAAAAGGATCAACTTACACAAATATATAATAGCTTTTTGTTGTAGTAAAAATTTTAGTAACAAAGGGAGTGTCTATCACCAGGGGAGTGGTTAAACAAACTGTTATATATGAATCTAATGGGATATTATACCATAAAGAATGATGACATGAACAGTTTCAGAGAAGAATGGAAAGACCAATGAACTAATACATCTCAAAAATAAGCAGAACCAGGAGATCATTTCATAAAATAATAACATTATTAAAAAAATACTGAAAGGCTTTAGAACTCTGGTCAATACAATAATAAATAAGTATAAAAGAATGATGGTGAAACAAACCACTCTCTCCCAGAGAGGTGATGAACAAAAAAAGCAGAAACACGTATTTCTGGACATGGTCAATATGGCAATTTGTTTTGCCAATCTATGAATGTAGTTTTGAGGTTTTTATTTTTCATCCCTGTTCCCCCTTCAGTTCAAGGAAGGGGATGGTAGGAGGGGCGAAGTAATTAAAAAAAATGTGAGAGTTTGTAGTAGAGACAGAGATTTGTAGATGGTGATAAAATGGTCTCTGAAGAGAGAAGAAATGAAATAAATTAGCATCAATGAAACATTTAAATATGCACAGAAGTTCATGATTGGACAAAGACATACTATACAGTATTGTAGTAGTTTCATATATAATCCTCTTTTCTATTCTTATTTATATATTACACTGTTAGTGTTTGTTGATGTCTATTAGCTTTGCAATAAAAACTGTATCAATTGAAACTGTTTTTAAAGATTTAAAAACTCTGATCAATGAAATGATGAATGAAAACTACATTGAATCAATGAAGATGCATGGTACCTATCCTACCTTACAGAGAAGTGATATAGTCAAGATGCAGAATGAAATAATATATTTCTGGCCATGGCCAGTGTGGGTTTTGTTCTGCTTGACTATGCATATTTTTGCAAGAGTTTTTGTTTTCTTTTTCCCCCCAATGGCGTGGATGTAAAGGATGGGGTGGGTGTAAAGGATGAGGTGGGAAGAAAAAAGAGAAAAAGAGAAACGACATTAATAGAAGGTCAGTCATAGACTAGGAGGCCTACTTTGAAAATTATATACTTAATTTAAAAAAAATTGGATTCCATTCTTGAAAGACCAATAAAACCTTTTTTTAATCATTGAAAAATTATACGTGTATGTATGTACACATATATGTAGTATGTGTGACTATAATATCAATATTCTCCTTGATACAGAGGCATATCTTTTTAATAATTAATATTCTTCCAGTGCATCTGTCCATGGCATCAATTTTGTAATATTATAACCCACTAAGAATTTGAGTTGTAAGTCATGTAAGGGTGAAAGATGCTTGAGTAAAAATGAATAGGCTGCAACATTATCATTAAGTAGTTAGCATAGAAGGAGTAGTTTAAAGAATGCTCTGAGAGAGATAGATGGCAAGTTTTAATTCTAAATCAATCAATCAATCGGGGGGCAGCTAGGTGGAGCAGTGGATAGAGTTCTGGACTTGGAGTCAGGAGGACTTGAGTTCAAATCCGGCATCAGATACATGATACTTACTAGCTATGTGACCCTAGGCAAGTCACTTAACCCTGACTGCCCCATCAAAAAACAAAAAAAACCCTAAATCAATCAATGAATCTATCTATCAAATGCCATACATGTAAATTCACAAAGGAAAAAACTAAATTATGAAAAGACATAGCAAACTTATAATTATAGGAAACTTTAATGTTCCTCTTTCAAAGCAGGACAAATAAGACAGATAAACAAAAGAGAAAATATTGAAATGAATCACCTGTTGGAGATGTTAGAGCTGAAAGGCTTAAGGCATTTTCAGAATGGGAACATTAAAGAGTATACACTTTTTTCTTAAAAAAAAAGTGATATAAATGAAATGAAAGCGCTTGAGAAAAGAAGTGGAAAGGAAATGAGAAGTATGGAGGAGAGATTTGGAGAGAATTAACAGCTTAGCACAAAAGACAGAAAATGTTACCCAAGCAACATGCTCCCTAAAAATCAGAATGGATCAAACAGAAGTTAATGACTTCAGGAAACAATAAACTATTAAAACAAAGTCAAAATATTGAAAAAAAAGTATGGCATGTCATATAAAAACAAATGACCTGGAAAACTGATCAAGGAGAAATCATTCAAAAAACACTGAGTTACCTGAAAACTATGATTTATTTATTTTTTATTTTTTATTTTTTGGGGGGGAGGGCAATTGGGGTTAAGTGACTTGCTCAGAGTCACACAGCTAGTTAGTGTCAAGTGTTTGATCTGAGGCCAGATTTGAACACTCAGGTCTTCCTGACTTCAGGGCTGGTGTTCTATCCACTGCGCCACCTAGCTGCCCCAAAAACTATGATTTTAAAAAAGCCTTAATATTTCTGAAAATCATAAATGAAAAATTTTCATATTTTTAGAATAAGAGCACAAATTGTCAATATAAAGAACCCACTGGTTACCTCCTAGAACAAAGGTCAGTAAACTATAAGGGGCCAAATCCAATCTACTGCATGTTTTGTACAGCCCAGGAGCTAAGAATGATTTTTTTATATTTTTAAATACAAGTAAACTTTATCTTAAAATGTAAAAACACATTCTCACCCTTTTTTTTGGCGCTTTTTCCTGATGAAAAGACCA